GTTTAGTCTGTTTAGTGGTTTAGAATCCCTACCATTCATTTTTAAGGTTTAAAAATCCAAGAGAACATTTCTTATTTGATAAGTGAAAAAGATAAACCAAATATAGTTTATTTTTTTTAAACCAAATACAGTTTAGAAGAAAGCTGTATTGATAAGTGAGGCTGATTATAAAATAAGACTCAAAGTATGAAAGAGCTTAATATTTTAAAACTTAAAGTCTTTTGTTATAAGAACGAATTGGGGAGTCCTACATTTAGATAGCATTGGAAATATGCTATCTAAATGTAGGACTCCCCAAATATGCATCCAAAAGTTCAATTAATCCTAAAATCATTGTTTTAAATTTATTTTATTGTTTAAAGTATTACAAATAGTAGTACACATGTCTCCTTTTTTTCCCCTTCTGACTTTCCCCCAGCCTCCCATACCCTGGCACATGCCCTCATCGTCCGCCCAGTGTCTTAGGGGGGTGGTAAGAGATCAACCAAAAGACTTGCATGCATGCATCTAAGCATAAAGAATGGACCTAAAATCATTTTTTAAAAGGCCTATAATTTTTAAAAGAATATGGATCTTTAGTTATTAATAGTATGTTTCTAGAACAATCAAACTAGTACTGTTCAGGTTATCCTTTGAAATTTCAGTAATCATAGCAAGATAAAATGTAATTAAATATAGTCAACTAAAATGCAAGTGACTGTATGCATGCATCTGTAAAGTACATATTTATATGATTATGCTTAATAGAAAAAGTTGGGCACTCCCTTCTCCTCCCCCACAATGTCATCAGAAGGTACTTATTCCTGGCAAGCTATTACATGATGACATAAACCCAATCCTTCTCATTCCCTGTAAACTTTCCAAATTGCCACAATCTCATATTGCAAAAGGGGTATGTACACCTTAAAACAATAAGTAGCACACAGGCAAGGATCCCCCTCCTTCCCTAACTCTGCACTTCACAGTTATGTAGAAGTGCTGCCAAGGTCTACTTACTGTCTATTCAGATACATAGAAGCACAGCTGAGTTTTGAATGTTCGCAAATGTACAAAGCTACATATTACCAAGCAACTTGGGCAAAAGGAATGTTAAGTAATATAAGGCTCTAATTTTATATGCCAGTAAAATATGTTTTTAAAAATAAATAGAAAAAGATGGCAAGAAATCGTTAAAAGCACAAGATTTCCCATTATTCAGTAGTGAGCTGATAATGAGTTAGGCATAAATTTTTCATATGTTTTCTGGTGTTTTGCTGGAATTTTGTGCTCAGTATTCTAAATTACAAAATGATTATAATATATGTACATATGTGATATCATGACCTTATTCTAGACCACAAATATCTGAAAAGTATTCATTTAAGATCCTTTTTGCATTCATCACTGTAACAGTTCAAAATGGGTTTTGTTTTGTTTTTGCATCACCTATTATTATGAGGTCTAGACATACTCTTAGATACCTTAACATTGTTCATTTATTTCAAAGTGCTTAATTTATTGTGTACATGACCAAAAAACACCCATGGTTGCATTATAAAGTTTTTACTCAATAGATTTAATTTACCAGATTTTCCACAAATATATTGCTCTTAATCTCTCAGAAAACTGCTACAAATAGGAGAGTACATATCATCTATGAAGTTGTCAAACATAAAAGGAGAAAGAAAAGCACATTTCTGACAAACAGTATCTATTTTGTTTGTCCAGTTTAGTAATGCCCAAAGATTACAAGTGAACTTGATTTGTATATTTTATTTAAAGAAATAATCACAAGTTGATGTTTTTGTTACTTTTTTAATTGCACAGACTTTAAACTACATTCATAAATTCTACTCTCTTCCAGGGTAAATGTCTTTTCTGGAAATAAACATATCACTTGATATTTGTATGACTTTTTGTTTCTGAATGCATGCTGAAATAGATCCAATGAGCACAGTCCTTAAGATTACATTTACAGTGGACCAAATTAACATTCTAATAGTATTTATTTCCCTTTTATGTAACTTAAAACATGTAAACTGGCACTGAACACAGAAGTGGAATACCTGACATTTAATTATTTGTCAGTTTTTTAGGTATAGGTGAATTACTGCACTGTTATTTGAATCGAAGCATCTCATAATATATGTGTAACAGATTTTGTATGATACTAAAATTTACAGCAAGCTATTTGAATGTTTATTAAAAAAATTCTCAAATGACATGGAAACATGTGTACTGTATAAATAAAAGCACTTAGAATTAAGAGTGTACATTATTCAATAATTTATATCATAAGAAAACCGGGCATGAATTAACCAGTACAATCTATTATATTAATATGACATATTAATATTCCAGTCATGTTTATCACAAAACTATTTATTACTTTAGTGATGGATGTCGGTTTACATCAATTATCTTAAAACACTGAATTGAGTGAATTGTATTGCAGTGTAAAAATCCCAGTAAAATATTCTCTATGCCTAATGTTTTTAAAAGATTATCTATTTAATTAAAATGCAAAGGAGTTGCCTCACAATGAAGCTGGATTGGCTGGAAAGTTATTTTGCTAGGGAAAGAGGTTCTGTGTCCAAAAGAGTCTGGAATAAACTAGGTCAAATAAAATTAACCAGCTTTAATGTACCTTGGAATTTCTCAAGTTCCCTGAGAAGGATGAGAGTTTCTAAATTATGTCTGCCCATGGAAACTCATTCTTATAGACCCAGGAATACCTGTAGCAAATGATGAGTTAGAGCAGCAATTTTCAGTCGGTGTGTCACAAGAATTTTTAAAAACATGCCATACCTGACTGTCTAGTCAGGGGCACTGACCTCCTTCCCCTTAGACCCAGCGTGGAGAACCTTTTCTCGGCCAAGGGCCACTTGGATATTTATAACATCATCCTCAGACCTTAGAAAACTATCAACTTCAGAATTAGGCTGCTATATTTGGTCAAACATTTAATGAACTCACCCCTAATGCCTGGCAGAGCCAGACCAGATTTTGAACTTGGGGGTCTTATACGGCTCACTGGCTGGCCTTTCCCCTGCCTTAAAGTGTCAAAAAAAATTAAAAAAAAATAATGACAACAGCCAATATCGTCCAGTGTAAATGAATCAAAAGTATGCCTATTTTTATTGTCATATATGCAAAAAATATATATACTTTTTTTGGTGTGCCACAGAATTTGAATAGTTTGTATGTGCTATGAGTTGAAAATCACATTTAGGGGACTTTGTAAAGACTTCTAATACTAAATGTCATTTAGCAGAAATGTATATGAACATCACATGTCATTTTAAAAAGTTTTACCTCAGCTAGGAGACTCCAAGTAAGGAAAATTGTAATTGACCTCAGAAGAGCATTGTAGCTTGACCACCTGTAAGCAGGATATTAAGATTCTAGAATGCGGAGTCATATTATCATCTTTATTGTATGGGAATGATGTCCAGCGTGCTTACATTAGCTTTTACTACAATACTTCTATTTAAAATTCTGTGTTTTTTTAAAATTAACTTCAATTTATTTTATTAAAATTCTGTATTTTCTCTGGCTCAGAAATGCCCTCACATTATCAAATATATGCTCAAAAAAAAATTAACAGCTAGAGGATAAATTATGGGTTATTTATACATATATTTTTATAAAACTGACCAAATGAATTTGATAGCTAATTATGTAAAATTATCAATTAGATAATTAAATGACTGTAATTATGTCCTTTCCAGGATTTTTTAAATGAAAATTGATTTAGAATTCTATACGTTTATAAAATGTTGTGTATTTTTTTCACAATTCTACTTTTAATCCTCCATTTTTTAAGAAACATAGTTTTGGCCTGGCTGGTGTGGTTCAGTGGTTGCACATCGACCTATGAACCAGGAGGTCACTGTTTGATTTCCAGTCAGAGCACATGCCTGGGTGGTGGGCTTGATCCCCAGTAGGGGGCATGCAGAAGGCAGCTAATCGATGACTCTCTCTCATCATTGATGTTTCTATCTCTTCCTCTCTCTTCCTCTCTGAAATCATAAAGATATATTTTTTTTAAAGTTTTATAAAAACTATATATTAACTTGGTCACTTGCCATATTAAAATTAAGTCAATTTGTATAGTACTGCCCCCCGTATCCATGGTTTTAGTACCTGAAGTCAGGTATGGTCTGAAAATATAAAATAGAAAGTTCCAGAAATAAACAATTCATATGTTTTAAATTGCATCTGTTCTTAGTGTGAAGAAACCTCGAATCACCCCAGATCATCCCTCCTGGGACGTGCAGTACAGTAAGATATTTTAAGAGAGACAGAGACCACATTCACATAACTTTTAATACAGTATATTGCTATAATGTTCTATTTTATATTTACTGTTTAATCTTTTACTATGCTAAATTTATAAATGAAATTTAACACAAGTATGTGTGTATAGAAAAAATAGTATATTTAGATTTAGGTACTATCTGTGGTTTCAGGCTTCTCTGGGGATCTTGGGATGTATCACTCTGGATCAGGGGGTACTACTGTATTTACCTTTAAGCTAAGGAAGAGAATCAGTTAAAATATGTTTATGAAATCTTCATGGAGAAAGACTTAATGTGTTGCCAAAAAAAGGGGCTAGCTTCATTATAGCAACTTTTACCGGGGACTTTAAATGCTAAAAACCTGGTGACCCAACTTTGCAATTCCCATAGTAATACCACACAGAAATATCACTGTGTGTCTACCATGCTCTGTACCCCACATTACACAGATGTGCTCAAAAGACATATTGGTTTATGAACACCAAAACCAGCAGTTAAGGTTGTCAAGAAAGTCAAATTTATAATGTCTGAATATTTAAACAAAGTGAAAAATTATCTAATTTTTTAACTTTATATACAATTGGCATTATGTATAAACAATAATTTATTGTAGTTTAACGGAATAATTTAAATGTTGATATTTCATTAAAAATGTCATTTCCAGAAAAATCTAGATGTAGAAAAAGATGTCATTTGAGATTATCTATGTCTTTAGTAACAAAATAAAGCTCAGAGAGGAAAATTATTTATTAAGAACTTTTTTTTCCATAGAAAACAATAAAACATGTTGAAGAAAAATATATAATATAAAGAATAAAAAAAGAAAAATGATGCTTCCTGTAGTCTTATTTCACTGTAGGTTAGGGGTGTCGAACTCAATCAGAGAAGGGGCCAAAATCTAAAATCCAGCCTAAATCGCGGGCCGAATGGTTTACTGAACAGTCATAAACTGTCATTGTGATGGAAACGCAGTGGAGTGCAGTGATGACAGCGCGGTGCGGGCCACATTGCAAGGCCTGGCGGGACGGATTTGGCCCGTGGGCCTTGTGTTTGACACATGTGCTGTAGGTTATTTTATGCTTCACCTAAGGTGATTTAAGATAAAATTTTAGGAACTATAATTTTATTATTCACAGATAAAGACCTTTGAGTTTGTTCTCTGATAATGTGAATAAGAACAAACCCTATAACAAATATGGCACAAAATCCAGGACTGCCCCTCTAGCTTACCTTCAAACACCAACAACTACAAACAAAACCTGAAAGCAAAATCTGTAACCTTCAGATAAGTTTAAATCAGTGTTATCTAGGCTTTCATCATTTGGCTCCTTATATAATCTAATAAGTACATTCCTCCAAGTTTATATTGTTCAAATTAAGGCAAGAGATATACACATCAATTAATCATATACCAATATTTGATGACATTATAGATATCCATCAAGGGAAAACTTTTCTAAAAGCAAAAACATCTCAAATACAAAACCATCTCTTTTATTGCTTTGAATTGTTCATTAAAATAAAAACACATTTTACTAAATATATAATATATACATATGTGTGTGTGTATATATATTATAAAGGGAATATATTTAATAGATAGAAACATGAAAAGCCTCAAAAGCTTCAATTTAAAGTAGTCCAGTTCATTTCTTCCAAGCAGAAACATTCACAGTATTTCTTTAGTTTTCAAATTCTAGATATTCAAATTGTCATCGTGCCCTGCAAAAACTAATAAATAAGCAAAATCACCAGCTGGTAACAACAAAATGGCGTTTGTTTTTTTATTAATTATATTCCATAATAGTATTTTCACAAGATGAGAAACTTTGATTTTCCAAGATTTATAATTCAACCAGTATATGCTAGTAGGATAATGTTGACCCTATAACTTCCACATAAAAACAAAACAAAAACACTAAAACACTGGAACATTTGAAATATAACTTTTTTATAGTATCGATTTTTTAAAAAACTAGATTCAGGTTAATAGCAATTATTTGAAATGAGAAATGAATAGCTTTATAATTATATATGAAAATTTCCTATCTTTATTAGAACTAAGAAAGATTACCGCAAGTAAACTACTCTTCATAAAAATAATGGTAGTTTTACCCTTAAAAATGATTTGGAAGAAAAACTGCCAAAAACCCGTAATAAAATTTTAAAATATATCTTATGTTTACTATAAAGTCAAGTTGGTATTTGTACCAATATTTAATCTTATAAAAAAAGAACATGGCTTACAAAATATATTATCACAGTATTGGTACCAGTGATCACTTTACAATTTTTGATAATTATGAACACTTCTAGAATAGTGTAAATATTAAAAGTTTACACAAGATACTCACATCCTCATATATGAAATTCACAACCCCTTGTTGCAAATGGTCTCTTCTCCTAAAGAAATCTTTAAACAAACAAATTACTTTTTTGTTATAATTAAAAAATCTATAGTTTCAAATACTCGTGTCCCCATGTATTAAAATATTAATAATTTCATATTCAATTAAATCCTGATTATGCTTCTCAGACAAGAAAAAAAAACCTCTGATACTGAGCTATAACTATTTCTCACTACATATAATCCAAAAATTTTAAAGCCTTAACACTCTGATTAGATTTAATAGTGAATAAAGGGGAAATATTATATAAACTTGCTATAGAAAGCAACAGACATTACTTAAGAAAAATAATTGTACCCACTTTTAAATGGTCTATACCTGTCAAAGCCCGAAGCTTCACACAGCAGGCAACATAATCATCAAAGAAGATCCTTCCATGCCTGCTATAACGTTTAACAATAGCACTTAAGGTTTGAGGACTCAACCTATAACCTAAAAAAAAAAAAAGAGAGATTGATAAATTACACCTTCTAATACTAAACACATAAGACCACAACAAGCACTGCATTCTTGTTAATCGTCATAAATAAATTAACTTTCAAAATGCATTCCATAAAAAACATGTTAAAAACAAAGCACAATGTTAGAAACAAATCACATTCATACCGAAATTGATCAAAGCAACTGTTAATTGTTAATAGTGGTACAGTCCTAGCAGGTTTGACTTAGTGGATAGAGCATCGGCCTGGAGACTGAAGGGTCCCAGGTTCAATTCTGGTCAAAGGCACTTGCCTGGGTTGTGGCTCTATCCCCAGTAGAGGACATGCAGGAAGCAGCCAATCAATGTATATCTCTCATCATTGACTTTTCTGTCTCTCTCCCTCTCCCTTCCTCTCTAAAATCAATAAAGACATTTTTTTAAAAAAACAGTGATACATAAATATCACAAATCCAGCTTCCTAATAAAGTCAAAGCTAAAAAATTATTATTTGTCTTTTTAAAAATATATTTTGAACCTTTTCCAGTTTTGTTCACTGGATAGAGCCTCAGGCTGTGGACAGAAGAGTCTGGAATTTGATTCCAGTCAAGGGCACATATCTCAGTTGCAGGCTTGATCCCTGGCCCCAGTTAAGGTGCGTGCAGGAGGCAACCAATCGATGTGTCTCTCTCAGATGGATGTTTCTCTTTGTCTTTCCCCCTCCCTTCCACTCTAAAAATTAATGGAAAAAATATCCTTGGGTAAAGAATTAAAATATATATTCTATATATATATATAAAAGGCTAATATGCTAAGTGTCTGACAGTCTGACCAGTTGCTATGATGCTCACTGACCACCAAAGGCCAGACGCTCAATGCAGGAGCTGTGGAGACACGTACTGGCCATTTACAGAGAAAGGGCACCACAGACCTGGCATCCACAAAGCAACACTCGGCTTCCCCCAAGTGAGACACAGGCCCCACCACCACCCCAGAGCGATAGCCCACCAAATAGCAGCTAATGTTTCCGAGACGCTATAGCGCAAAATGTGGCCCTCATCCCTGCCGGGAAAAAGTGGTTGTGGGTGCCAGGTAATGATGTCACATAGCAATGCCCAGCTTTCTCTTCCTAGCAACTAGCCTTCTTGCAGTTTCTTCAGCCAGAAACACGACCTGCTTTGTAGCCAGGTGGAAACATTTTAACTAAACATCTGTGAAGCATTTTCCCATGCTTCACCTCATTTGATCCTCACAGAAGTTCTGGAGTAGGTTGATAGGAGACTTGGTGGAATCCTATTTTCTTTTCATTAACCGGAAAAACAGAGATTTAGAAAGCTTAGAAATTTGACCTGACTAAAAAGAAGTAAGAAATGGTGGACCTTAAAAATGACTTCAGTTTTTCTCATTGTGCAGAATATAGTCAACACTGCTGCAGTTAAATATTTTACCCTTTGTTCTCCCTGTGGGATCTACAATAATAATCTGCTTCATGTTGATATTTACTGCATGTTTCTGACAATTATCTGAAAAAGAAGTTGAGGTGCTAAACTTTGGGGCTGAAAAAGCTAAATCAGAAAGCAGATCTAATTAAGCAAGTTTACCTATATACTAGAGGCCCAGTGCATGAATTCATGTACCAGTGGGATCCCTCAGCCTGACCTGCAAGATTGGGCAGAAACTGGCTCTCCAACTTCCCCTGAAGGGTCCTGAATTATGAGAGGGTGCAGGCGAGGCTGAGGGACCCTACTGGTGATCAATCAGGCCAGGGAGGGTCATGGGAGGTTGGCCGGCTGGGGAGGGACCATAGGAGAGCCCCAGAGAGTATCCCGCCCATCTTGCTCAGTCTCAATTGGCTAGACCCCAGAAGCAAGCTAACCTACTGATCAGAGGGTCTGCCCTCTGGTGGTCAGTGCATGTCAGAGCAACTGCTCAACCAGTAGACTGTCTGTCCTCTGGTGGTCAGTGCACCTCATAGTGAGCAGTTGAGTGGCCTTAGCATATCATTAGCATATTACACTTTGATTGGTTGAATGGACAACAGGAGTATATTATATATACTATATAATAAAAGCCTAATATGCTTTTATTATATAGGATATATATATTAGGCTGCTATTATAATGCCAATCACACATATGTGTTTCAATCTGTCATTGTCAATCATGAATTTAATTGACACTTCCATTATAGAGAAAGGGTGAATAGTGATATTAAAATATTCTAATTAATTTCCTTTCAATGTGCATGAATTTGTGCACTGGCTTCTAGTGTGTATATATATATTTGATTTTGAAATAATGTCTAGGGTATTTCATAGATTTTAATGCTTCAATATTTCAAGCCTTTAATTTTATTTTATCTTTTTATCCTTCAGGTATCTTTCTATTTTTCATTTTATTTTTTATTAGGTATAATTGACAACATTATACTTCAGGACTACAATATAATGCTTTGATATTTGTATATATTGCAAAATGATCACCATAATAAGTCTAGTTAACATCTGTCACAACACATAACACAAATTAATTTTTCTTATAAGAACTTTTAAGATCTACTTTTTAATAACTTTCAAAAATGCAATTACAGTATTATTAACTAGAGTCACTATGCTGCATATTATAATGCCATGAGTTACTTTATAATTGGAAATGTGCACTTTTGACCACCTTCACCTAGCAATTCTGTGAATTATGGATCTTTAAAGAACATCAGAGCAAAATTTACACAGTGATCTTTGCTAGCATTCAAATCCTATAGTTCCCATTGAATGTTTTACTTACAAGTATCTTTTAAAGCCAGAGAAAATTTGAAGACAACGTGGTTATTCAGAGGGAAAAAATAGAAAATGTTACTCCCTTATGTTCCATAACTCTGAATCTATTTCTTCAGACTTTTATCACTACTTCCTTGGTATTTTTTTATATAGGTTTTTTATTGCATATTCCTATCAGTAAAAAGTTTTGGATCATTATATGTGTATTTAGTTGTAAATTCTATACATGTATTACTATTTGATTATTCACATTTTAAAATATACCTAAAACTAAAATTTAAAAAATAATTAGAAATATAAATCAATATATTATACTTTATGCATTTGTAGAGATGGTCTTAATGTATTTAATGAGATATGTGCACTTTATTGGGAAGAATGATAGCCTAGAAGTATTGTCTTTATTATTACTTGGGTTTAGTAGATTTCAACAAACTATACTAATTCATTCAAAGGGGAAATAAAAAATATAAATGCAATTGGAGAAAATTCTATGTGTAGCTATAATAAAATGCAGGAAACTTGCTTCAATAAAAGGTATAAATTAATAGAAGCAAATAAAACATGCAAACTAATTTAATTATATATAAATCCATTTTGAGCTTTCAATTGGAAAGTTATGATCTGAATGCGGTATTGATAAAATTCTTAAGATTTCCCATAACATTCTTTTTTTTAATATATAACATACTGTATTGATATTTTACAGAGAGGAAGAGAGAGGGATAGAGAGTTAGAAACATCAATGAGAGAGAATCATCCATCAGCTGCCTCTTGCACAC